AACAAGATTACCTTTTGTTTATATCTGTTATTAATGATTTGGTCTGTGTTTGTACTGTATATGTTCTTTGAAGTATTTACCATCTAGTACTTATGCATGCCTCTTGTAGATTCATTTTTTAGAATGTTTTTAAATGTTTAGGCATAGGCAAGTTAAATGTTTGGGCTTAGGCAAGTTAGTGTTAGCTTTCAGACCCATTTCCTTGTTGTGACTGAAATTCTTGTATATTGTCCTTAGAAATGAAGAATGTTTTTCCCTTTTGGCCCTTAGTTGCCTTTTCCTCATCTTTATTTACTTATTATTTTATTAAGTAGTCTTCCGTTTTTTTTTTTTCTTCTACAAATATTTGACAAGATGGCTTGGGATGTGAAATAGGTGGGAGTGATGTTCAGCTCACTTAACTTTCTGAACCTCTGTAAATAACAAAAGAGTTAAAATTTTAAGTGTATATAGCTCTTTCTGTACTTTCTGATGATTTTGTTGATGTACATAAATTTAAAAAAGAACTATTTTATAAAATTTTCACTCAGTCTTTTTCACAGACTCATTCTCTCTCACATGTGCACATACCCACGTGCACACACGCTCATGCACATGCACATGTACACATACATGCACATGCACATGCACACGCACACACTCTCACACTCACACTCGTACTCACTCTCTGATCTTTCATTCCTTCCATTTGGGCTACTTAGGTGTAAGGTTTGCACTTGGGAGTATGTGTGTTGTTGTATAAAAAGGGATAAATTATTTGCGGCAAACTTACGCTGCTTAGAGGTTGGAGCATGACTCTGTAAATTGATACCTACTGTAGTTGTTGTAGATGGAAGTAATACTCCAGTTTGTATTTACATAGGCTCTCTTCTTACTGTGAAAATGGTGTAGGTTGGAATAGCTATCTAAGTCGTCTTTCAGTGAAAAAGATGTTGAAATCTTAGCACTTTGTACTAGTAGTATATTAGTAGTAGAAGTAATAGTAGAAGTATACCTAACCAATATTGACAGTGGCACTTTTAAGCTTGCAGTCACATAGTGAGTTATGTTAACTTAAAATTTTTGCTGTGTGTTCACGTTTACAAGACTGTAACCATAATTTATGTAAATGTTAGAATATTAAACATTTTGGTGGCATACTAAAAAATGTCCAAGGAATTTAATTTGTTATCAGTGTTATCCAAGTGCAAGATTGAAAATAATGCAGAAGGAAGTCTCAATTTTGACTGATGATGCATATTTTGTTATTAATTCAGTTATAAGACATGTTTAATAGATATTTGTGATAGCTGAGCCAAGAGGATATTTAAACTTTTGTTTTTTGTGATGTTTTATTTATGATATTTTCATCCTAATTTCTCACTAAAGACCAAAAATGCATTTATAAGTTGAAAGCATAATATGCATTTGTTGTTAATGATACTGTTAATTCACTTCACATTTCTTTTAATGGGTGGTATGATTCCATGCATGACTGTTAGCTGTTGCCAGATTTTAGTCTCTGTTTACAATATGCTGCCAGTTGTAAAACTTCTGGAACTCACAGTGCATGGAAGAAATGGGATTATTATGATGCACTGTCTTGAAGTTTCTTTTATATTTTATGGAATGAACAAAGTAAATGGCACATATGATTCATAATGTATAAATAATTTATTTTCTTTCTTCCTTTTCTGACTTTTATCCCTCTCTTTCTGCATGGGTACGATATATAGGAACCTAATATGTAAACCAGTATTGGGCACTTTACTACCTTCTGGTATTTCAGTGTTTTGTTGTTGTTTATTTTTGTTGTCTTTTTCTGCATCCCTCTATTGTAGTTTAAAAAGAAAATGTTTTTGAGAATCAAAGCCTCAAGTAAGAGACAGGAACCTCGACTTCTTTGTCAAATGAGTGTAAGGTTGCTATTTGAGAAGCATGAATTACAGAGTTGAAAAAGATGGTAAGTGGATTTAAAGAGAATAAATGAATCTCATGGCAGATGTCGTCAATTGTCGCACTTTTGAAGGCTTACTTTGCCATACAAATGATGTCACTGAAGGAGTGACCTAGCTTTTATACCCATATGCATGTACTTGACACGTTTTTGTTGTTGTTTTTTGGTGTTGTTGGTAGTACTCCACATCGGTAATGATCACAGTTACTACCATACTTTTTGCTTTGGTTGTTGAGAGAACTAGCACACTCACTTGAGAGCTCTTGCGATCTCAGCCAGAGGTGTTATTTCCACAGCCAAATGTTGTATCTGCTAGTGTCAGTACTTACCTGTAATGAAATAGTACTACTTTTGTGTAACCCTTTGGAGCATGCCGTAGAATTTTCTTTTCCTTTTTTTTTTTTTTTCAAGGAAGACCACAACAATCCACAGATTAAACTTGGTTTGTACAGCTTTCAAATGTTTATTTTTTATTTGTTTGTATTTGTATATTTGTTCTTGATGCTGGCAATATCATTTTGACCAATATTGTTATTTCTTATCATTTTATACCTTACTGTTTTT